CATCAAAACTCTACAAATTTATTTTTAATATTTCTGCAAACCTCATGTTCTATTTCCAGCACATGAAGTTCATACTGAAAAAAAGTCCTTTCTCTGGCCTAAAACTTTTGTAACAATAAAATAAATAAATAATAATTATAATAACTAGATAGTGTAAATTGTGTCCTGAACTAAGTGTTAGTATCATCTGCAAAGAGAATCTATATTAGAAGTCCAGACACATCACAAATATAATTTATATACATAAAATAAAAACTGGGCCAAGCACCGACCCCTGTGGCACTCCACAAATGATTCTGATCTGTAATCAGACAACTTCACAAACCAGTTCCATCCACTTTAATTTCATACCATTCCACTTTAATGAGCATGTAAATATCTTAAGACAGTTGATCCTGGTACTTGAGGGTTTTTTAATGAATGTGTGATTATCAGGCCGAACATGAAAACACAGTTCAGGTGTGTTGGTTTGTAAAACATGCAGGGTAGCAGTACTCCAGGACGGAACTGAACGCCTGTTTTATCCTGATGAAACCAAAAACTGTATCTGGGTTCTGGTTGAGTTCTGTGCACTCTGGACTCGGCAGGTTTTGTGCTGTGCATTGTGGGTCGCCTCCTCCATAGAGGAACAAACTCAGCCTCCTGGATGTGACGCCACCTTGATGTTCTCCTCAGAGACCCCGGTCTCGTCTGACTCTGGCTCGGACATCAACCACAGGTCTCTGTCTCCGTGGAGCTGGAGGTCAGTACTGTAGACCTTCTGGCTTCTGGTTCTGCTGTCTTGACCCATCATCTGGTTTTTGATTGTGAAATTTGTTCATGCAGCTCAACTACGGTCAAGAACCGGATCCCCTCCACCCTCTGGAAGGCCGAGTGCAACAGCAACTACTGTGAAAGTCCGAACCCAGGTCTAGAGGATTATCACGACCTGGAATCAAAACCCGTTTATCAGACCATCCTGGTTCTGAATCGGAAGGAGGGTGAAAGGTGCTACACGGTCTCGTTCCAGTCCATACCTGTCGGCTGTACCTGTGTCAGGCCCAAGATTACTTCTGAGCCTATACAGCTGTAATCAGACTTTATTTATTTTACACCATCTGTCCTTTCATATATATATATATATATATATATAAAACTAAATTATTACAATTATTGTTTGATAGCCTGGCCCCACCTGGTGTCTTTATGTACTTTGCATGTTCTTCCCATGCACAGGTGAGTTTTTTCTGGCAGGTACTATGGTTTCCTCCCACAGAACAAAAAATAAAAACTGCAAGAGTGAATGGTTACCAGCATTTTTATAAATACTACTAATACAGGATACCCCAATACTATACAGATACCAGTATTGATACCAGTAAAAAATACCAGAACTGATACCAGTACCAATACCAGTACCATTACCAGTAATAATACCAGAACTGATACCAGTACCAATACCAATACTAAACCAGTACTGATACCAGTACTAATACCAGTACCAATACCGATACTGATATCAGTACAAACACCAGTACCAATACCAGTATTAATACCAGTACCAATACCGATACCGATACCAGTACAATTACCAGTACCAATACCAGTATAAATACCAGTACCAATACAGATACTGATACCAGTACCAATACCAATACTAATACCAGTACCAATACAGATACTGATACCAGTACAAATATCAGTACTAATACCAGTACCAATACCAATACTGATACCAGTACTGAAACCAGTACTAAT